AAAAAAAAAAGTAGCAAAGGTGCTTTTACATATGAGTAGCTAAGTATGCATTCACAGTATATTTATATTTCTACTTGAAAATAATTTGCTTACCTCATTCAAAAATGAGAAAAGGTTTCAGACCAACCCCAGCCCAATGTGAGGTCACAGATCCCATGCTCAGACTCCAGGCCAAAGCTAGGATCCCACCTTACCATGCTAGACCTTGGACTGTTCCCATGTAGGGTCAGATAATCATGCCCAGAGCCCCATTCCAAAGCCAGGATCATGCCCTATAGTCAACCACATCAGACTTGGTCCCTTATGAGGTCAGAAACCTATTCTTAGAGTCCCCCAAGCCAACTTCAGGATCTCATCCCTCCATATCATACATTAGACTGTCCGTGTACAGCCAGAAACACATGGCCAGAGACCTTGCCTGATCTTAGTGTCCCTTGCTGCTATGCCCCACGTTAGACCAGCACAATGCGAGGTCCATGCCACAGAGACTCATGCCACAGAGACCCATGCCACAGAACCATAGGCAGAACAAGATTCAGATCTTCAGCTAGAGTATTCAGACACTGATACAGAATACTTTTCCCAAGGAGAAAACAGGAGAGGAACTCCTATAAGAGAGGAACGCTGAGCAATTAAGACAACCTTCTAGGAGCTTAGAAAGGAATTCAAGGGACAGAAGAGACAGCCCAGCAATCAGAGAACCTACCCATAGATAGCACCTTGTATGGCAGTTGATAACATACTCTCAGGGGAAGATGAGGTAGAACTTAGTAGCCTGACCACCAGTCTTGTAGAGGAAAAAAAAAACACCTGAATCATACTACAACGTAGTCCTGAAAGACTATTACAAACACTCTCTCTGAAAGAATAAAGGTAACCTAGAATCCAAGCAAAAACAAGCAAACAATATGTTCAAAGAATTGAATGAGGACATGACAAAGAGCTACATGATATAAGGAAGTCCACACAAGATATAAAAATGGATTCAGAAATACCAAAGAAAAACTACTCTGAAATGTTAGAGATGAAAATGTCAATAAATTAAATAAAAAGTTCAATGGAAAGCCCCACTCATGAAATGGAAGACAAAAGAATCTCAGGGGTTTAAGACAAGGTGGAGGAATGGAAACATTTAGTGAAGAAGGCTAATTTTTTTTTTAAGTTATGAAGGGAACATGTGAGATCTTTGGGAGACCATGAACAAACCAAGTCTACAGGAGGGAAAACTACATACCAAAGGCAAAGAAAATATTTTCAAAATAATTAGAGAAGGAATTTCCCCAAATCTATGGAAAGAGGAACCTAACTGTATAGAAGAAGCATATGGAATACCAAGTAGGCAGGACCAGAAAAGAAACTCCAGTGTACTTAAATCTCTTAATGAGAAACACCAAGTCACATGTGAAGGCAGGCCCACTGTCAGATTTTCAATGGAAACATTTAAAGCAAGAAGAGCTTGGAATGATATACTTTCAAGTTCTGAAGGATCACAGCTGTGAACCCAGATTAATATAACCAACAAAAGTATCTGTCATGATTGAGGGAGAAATAAAAACATTATATGATAACATAAACTAAAGGAAGTTATGAGTACCAAACCAGCCCTTTTGAGTATTCTAGAAGGAATCCTTTGAACTAATTAGAGTGATTAAAGACATCCAAGAGCCTACTTGAAAAAAATCAAAAGCAGCCAAAAACAGTAGTTACGCAACAGAGAGTTAAGAAAGGACCAAACACTACAAAATTAATGAAATGATGAAAGGATTCCCCCCAACAAGAAGACATTACAATTCTATACATACACACACCAAATGGGGTTATAGCTAAGTTCATAAAACATGTGATGAGATGTAAAGACATGGATTTCCCAAAAAATAAATACCCTGCTCTCACCAATAAACAAATAATTTTAGCACAAAATATCTACATTAGACCCAACTCTACCTCAGCTGCCGGCCAGCAGGGAAAACTCCTGTGGGAAGTCCCGCACCATAACCAACCCCACCCCCCACCATCGGACCCTGCAGTCTACAAGTTCCATGCCCTACTAGAATATCCATCCACCTGTGACCACAGCAACTTCCCAAGACACAGAAAACAAACCACCAGCTCTCATTGGACCTGAATGACTTTCTGAGACACAGAATCTGCCAACTCTCATTGGACCAAGAGAGGCTTCCTGAGACACAGAATCAGCAGCTCTGACTGGACCAAGAGCCCTGATAAGACCAAGAGCATCTCTGTGAGTCACAGAATCAACTAGCTTGGATTGGACCAAGAGAAGCTCCTGGAGATACAGAATCTGCCAGCTCCAATTAGACCAAGTGCTAAGATTGGACCCAGAGGGGCCCCCTGAGACACAGACACAGCAAGCAGAGAGTAGATCAATAGCAGCTTGCTCAGAAACAGGCACCTCTTGTACCTATGGGAGGGAGATATGGGTAGACACCAGTGCAAAAATACATACAACAAGCAACAGCAAGTCCTGAACATCACAGTGTAGAAGCAGAAGAAAGCAAGCTTAAAAATAACTTCATGAAGATACTACAGGCCTTTAAAGAGCAAATAAAAAATTCCCTGAAAGAAATTGAGGAAAAGACAAAACAAAAAATTGGAAGAAATCAATAAATCCCTTAAAGAAAGCCAAGAAAACCATGAGAAAGCAATTAAACATGTGAGGGAAACAGTTCAAGACCTGGGAAGTGAAATAGAAACAATAAAGAAGACACAAACAGAGGGAAGGCTGGAAATAGAAAATCTGAGTAAACAAACAGGAAACATAGATGCAAGCATAACCAACAGAATACAAGAGATTGAAGAGAGAATCTCTGGTGTAGAGGATACAATAGAGGAAATAGATTCATAGATCAAAGAAAATACCAAAACCGAAAAAGTCATAACACATAACGTCCAGGAAATCTGGGATACCATGAAAAGGCAAAACCTAGGAAAAATAGGGATAGAAGAAGAAGAAAACCAACTGAAAGGCACAGAAAATATATTCAACAAAATCACAGAAGAAAACTTTCCCAACTTAAAGAGGGAAATACCTATAAAGATACAAGAAGCCTACAGAACACCAAACAGACTAGACCCCCCCAAAAAAAGTCCCCTCACCACATAATAATTAAACCACTAAACAGACAGATTAAAGAAAGAATGTTAAGAGCAGGAAAGGAAAAAGGCCAAGTGACATATAAAGGCAAACCCATCAGAATAACACTTGACTTCTCAATGGAGACTTGGAAAGCCAGAAGGTCCTGGACAGATGTAATGCAGACACTAAGAGACCATGGATGTCAACCTAGATTAATGTACATAGCAAAACTTTCAATCACCATAGACGGAATGAACAAGACATTCCAAGACAAAACCAGATTTAAACAATACCTATCCACAAATCCAGCCCTCCAGAAAGCACTAGAAGGAAAATTCCAACCTAAGGAAGTCAGACAGACCCACAAAAACATGGCAACAGATAACCCCACAACAGTAAATCCCAAAGAAGAGAAATACACACACACTACCACCAAAAGATAACAGGAACTAACAATCACTGGTCATTAATATTCCTTAGTATCAATGGAATTAATTCACCTATAAGAAGACACAGGCTAACAGAATGGATACAAAAGCAGGACCCATCTTTCTGCTGCATACAAGAAACACACCTCAACTTTAAAGATAGACACTACTTCAGAGTAAAAGGCTGGGAAAAGTCTTTCTAATCAAATGTTCTTAAGAAGAAAGCTAGTGTAGCTCCTAATACCA